ATGTGAAAACATATCCTTCGGATTCATTTTCAGAAGTAAGTGGAAAAGCTTATTGGTAGTATAAAATGAATTATTGCATAAAAACCAAATAGATGTCGCCGCCGTCGCTGTGGAAAGTTTAAAATAAGAGTTTTGGTCGATCATTTCCGACACTTCCCATAGACGAAACTACAACGGAGCTGATCAAAGTGCCTCATAGCTCGAAAAAACATACTTTCCCACCTACTGAGAGTATGGTTGCAAGGCATGGATTTTCTTGAGCCTATATATCTCATACTTGTACAATCGGTCTTGAAACTGTAATTTTCTATAAAAAAAACATGGAGTTTTGATGAATTTCTATTGAAATTGATTCCACATAGATTCGGATTTTTGTCTTGGAAAATCTCTCCCAATTTAAAAATTTGAATACTCGTATATAGCAAATCAGACTGATTAGACAAAATTCAGAATTTAATTTTCCTTCGAAGTTCGAGGAGAAAATCGAATAAAAAAAATTAAAGAGCATACCTTTGCCTGACCATAGCAATCCACTAAGTCTTTTGTATCCAGGATGAGATTAATGAACGGAAATTTTGTCAATTATTTATATTCTCAGTTTTACATTCTGTTAGCTTAAAGGGAAGTAGAAACAAACTTAAGAATAGTCTAACCCAAATTTTCTTGAATTGGCTGCGAAACTGAGGTTTACAGGTAAAGTTCGTTACCGGTGTTACCGTTACCGAATTGTTCTCATAAAACCTAAAAGCGTTGTATTTGCCCCTTTACTCAAAAATTGCTGTTAGTTCAAAAACGTTTTCGAAAACAAAAATTATACTCAAATTTCATAGATTTTTCTGCTGAGAAATACAAAGCAACAATAATCCAGTTTAAACAGAGATCTCGATAGACTAAATTCGATTGGGTTGCAATTTAATCAATATTGTCAAAAGTTAGGTTCGCTTGCAATGACTAGCTGGCAGCACAAGCGTATTTTTAAATAAATTTACAATTTTAGCCATCACATTTCAAGATTCATAGTAAGACCGCTTAAAAATGTATCTGATGAACGAGTATCGAACTACTGGCACTGCTCGATATCTGGGTATCTACTCTAACTCTCTCTAACTCTGTTGCTAACAGATATTACTTTGGAGTGAGTGTACAATTAAAGAGTAAAGTTCTCTCTCTTGATGAACAAAAACTCAGTTCTATATGGTGCAGGCACGTGACCGATGATGACATCCGATGACTCTGAAATAGGCACATTTGAAAGAACGGTTTGGGAAATATTTATAATCCTGTTAGCAATGACGAATGCTGTAGACGATAGAACGGTAAGCAATATAAGGTATATGACGACGTTGCTATAGTTTACCGAATTCAATGACAGACAGCTGCTACGTTGGTTAGTTTATGTAGAACGAATGGATGAAATCATTCCGTCACCGAATGCATTCGATGTAGTACCTGCGGTTGAAGCAGAGAAAGAGGAAGACTTCCAATCCGTTGGAGGGATCATATGGGAAGGGACCTGAATTCACTTGATGCCTTCAAATTCTATGTGAAACACTATCTCATTCAAATGACGTGATTTTTTATAAACTTCGATCCATTTGAGGTAATTTTTTAACACATTTTAGCACATATTGGGCCGATTCTCAGCCATAATTTGAGGAATGTTTGTTTTCGAGTGTTCAAGACTTAAAGATTTAACCGCATCTTTCACTTAGCCTAACAAAAAAAATCCAACGATGTCAAATCGTACGACTTCGGTGGCCAATTGACATCGCCAAGACGAGAGATATGCTTGTGTAGTGGCATCATCTTGTTGAAACCGCATGCTGTCCAACTCGTATTCTTCAATTGCAAAACAAAGTGTGTCGGTTAAGATAAGACTATAGTGCTCCGAATCGTAGCCGTTTTCAAAGAATTAAGATAAAATCTCATCTCCAGAAAAGACAGCGCTTCAGACAGTAAGAGTTTTTGGCCTCTCTTCAATCACTTGAGGGTTATCGGAGGCCAGAATGTGAAATTTTTGCTCATTTAAACATTCTCCGAAGAAACAAATGTTCCTCGTTGCTGAAGAAAATTTTGTCTTCAAGCACTCAATCGATATACAATATTTTCGGATTTTTGAATGGTGTGCTGGTTTAAGTTGCTTGTGAGCTTCACTTTATATGGATATTGGTGAAAGTACAAGTACAAATTTCGCCGTAATGTGCTGTAAAAAGTCCGAGTTGTGGAGAACATCGAAAAGTAGACACATTCAGGTCTTCGGCAACACCTTCGCTTACATTGACATTGGAGATGGGACGAACAGGGATTCAGAGGTCTTAGAACATCTGTTACTGATCCAGTTCTGTTCAAATTTCATTGAAATTCTACCAATTGCTTGATAGTTGAGTTATTGTGTGCCTCACATTCTCCTCTTAAAGCATAAAACGTGGCACGTTTGAATCATCATTTTGTTGTAGAATTGGCGGCCGCGCTAACAGAGTGGCTAGCATTGCGTACTGCCATTCGGAAAGCTCGGGTTCAAGTCCAAACACGTACAGAAAATTAATTTGAATAAAAAAATAAGCTAAATATTCTAATTGCGGGCGCGCCTCGGCAGGAAATGTCAATCTCTCCGAATGTATTTCTAACTTAAAATAAAGCTCCTCATAAGAAAACCATTAGCCGTAATGTACAGACTCTAAAAGGGTAATCTGTATTTTTCAACCTTTCGGAATAAAGGCCCAATTAATATGAAGTTTAATAAAAATATTATTTCAAGAGCAGATGGAGGAAACGTCTTGATTTAATTCAAAACCCTACTTTCCCATCTCTTGCACACCCTCAGTAATTACTAATATAAAATAATCATAAAATCTTTGAAAATCTATTATAAATTTTATTTGGAATTGTTGTTGCTGTTTTCTTTGTCTTTTATTATTCAAAACGCACACCGGTTGCTCATTTATTTTGCAGCTTTATTGATTTCAATCCACTTTCAATTAATTTGTGAGTGAATGTATAGATGAATGCGGTAATATAATTAAAATAAATGAAATCTTATGCATTTATATACATACTCGTACAGCCATATATGTATGTATGCTCGCATAACTATGCTTAGCTATTTATTTATTTATGTCCATATCCTCTGAAAACTGAATTGATTACCATTAAAATTAATTACTTTGCGATAATACTGAGCTTTATCTATTAAAAACAAATGAGCAGCATGGAGAGGTAGGCATGAAGAGCGAGAGGGCGAGAGAGAGGGCGAGGGACGCAGGGGCAGAGGCAGAGGCAGATGCAGAACATAAACACAACATTAGCCAATTATTTATAGGTTGTGATGTTGAGTGGCCTGATACGAAACTCATTAGTGAAAGCAAAATCAAAAACTAAATGCCGACAAGTAATTATCTGCTCTTCTGTTTGATTTAAAGTTTTCATTTGATTTGTTCGCTTTTGTTCTTGCCATAACTGCTTTGGATGGCACTAAGTGAATGTCAATTGCATAATATAATCAGAACTAATTAATTTGAAGTGGAAGTTATTTAGCAGTTGAAGTGCTTTGATTTAATCGTAGAGTGAAAATAAATTAGCTTGAGTTGAATGGGTTTTTAGTGAGATTTTAGTTCGAATCGGTAGGCTGCATATAATCAATACAAAAATTTTGCCGATAATAGTCAAGTTCACTTAAGAAAAGTTATGATTGGAATCTTCATATGCCAATCGCTGCTGAATCGTAACAAGCGCCACACATTTCTGAAGCGGATCATGATTGGTGATGGAAAGTGGATTTTCTACACTTTTTGCCATAGAAACAAGGGTTTCTTTGAGGGAGGCATATTAGCATTATCTTCGTAATGACAAAAAGTTATCGAGGCAGAAGGTGCATATTTCATATAAATCGGATAATCTATTTAACTATGGTAAAAAAGTCCTCAGTTTCCTTTTTATTGTATCAATATATATAGGAAAATTTAGTAATTATTTTTTGTTGTTTAAATTCCATAGATTCCAATAATCGCTTTTTTTTTATTTTAATACACTTTAAAAAATCTTAATAAGTAGTTCCAAAATTTTTTTAACGATGTTTCGTTTTTAAAATACATAGAACTGAATTCTTTTTTGAACTTATGAATATTTGCAAAATAATTTTAAAATAGATTATTTTAATGAAAGTTTTAAAATTTTTTTACGAAGGTATTAAATAATTATTCTTCAATAATATTTCAATTTTTTATAACTGTAATAAATTTTGGTGTATTTAAAAATTTGGTAAATAAATTTTCTTATATATATTTCGATATGAACGATTAAAATAAAATCAACTACATTTAACTTTAAAAGTATTTGAATTCCAAAAATATTGAATATGAATAGTTCAATCAAACGATGAAATTTTTAAAAAATATTGCTATCTTTTTTTAGGCTTTGAACAAGTTATGTAAATTCAAATATCTTTTTTTATCTGTAAATAAGATAATTTTGTTAGATATATTTTTGTAATTATTTAGATCATGTATTAGGTATTTTTATCTGATTTTTTTCATTAACCAGAGGCTCTTGTTATATTTTTAAGTTTTAAATCTAAATTTATTAATATCCTAAATACATTTTGTTAATTTTCTTTTGCAAAATAAGGTATTTGACTGTTATTTTAAAGAAAAAAATTAATATCCATGAAACTAATGTTTTTTTTTTAAATAATAATAATCCAGATGATCTGTTTAAAGTTTTAAAATACACTGTAATTTTGCATTGATATTTCGATAAAATATTCTATTTTCATTAAACCTGCCAGAATTAGTTAAAAGTTGATTTTCACGTTTACAATTTCTATTTCATTTCATTTTTTTTTTGATGTTTTCAAGTATCTAAGGTGTTTAATTAGCATTTCTAGATAAAATAATTTCAATCAACGTGCGAAATACAATTTTGGAAAAAATAAATTTCCTATAATTTTCTCACTGTCAGCTCCGAAAATTTCTAGAAAAAATTGCAATCACCGTTAAATAATTTTTTCGGCTACAAAACCCACAGAAACCATACTATTTACAAAGTACTGAAATTAGAAAAAGGAAATTAAATTCGAGACACAAAACAGTTATAAACCGCTCTTATTATTAAAATCCAACGCTAACATAAATAAATACATGTCATTAATAACGGTATATAAAGGTACAACTGTATTTTTCCTCATGTTGTTTTTGCTTTAAACATTTGTAAGTATGTAAATGTTTTTTTTTTTTTACTTCAATGTTGAAAAGTATGTTCGCAATATCATCAAATCTCGTTAATCCTGATTGGTGAGCGTGTAACAATTGCGTAACTTACGCCAATCCGCCCAATCGAAACAACCCAAATAGCCATTCTGTTTGACGAACGCTTTGCCGCTCGTGCAGGGCAACAACAATGGCGTGGCACCCTCAGCGGTACATAAATAGAATTTACTTGGATCTGAACTCGGTTGTGGTTGTTTCAGATTATTACCGGTACACGAACCCACCGCAACGGTATAGACACAATTGGGATCCATCAATGAGAAGGGTATACAACCAGTCAGAGTTTCATTACGTACAAAGAAAGTTGAGTCGGGACAATCTTGCAGGACGGGTGTTTTGGTTTCGGAGTCGCAAAAATAGAATTTCAAACCGTCGTCTGCGCCCCACAATTCATCCTCATATTTACAGACAGATTCATCCGACAGCGTGGTTTGCGCAACGGTTAGGCCCACAAGGCATGCCAATAAAATAGCAACTGCAAATAAATAATAGAGAGGAATGTAATAAATGTGAATTGAAAGAAAAATTATATAAATGATTATTTTAAGTTAATACCGGTTAATGAAATACTTGTAAATATTTAAGATTCTTGAAGTTACTTTTGCCTAGTTTAAAATAAGAGAAACTGAGTTCGATAAGCGGCTGAGATTAACGAGAACAAATTCTTCTCTTCTTTACTGGCGTTGGCACTGCTAACGCAATTATAGCCAAATTAATTATAGACTTTTTTGCGCTGTTTGGCGCCAGTTAGAAATACCAAGTTAGTGAGGTCAGGTCATTCTCCACCTGATCCTTCAAACGGAGTGCAGGTCTTCCTCTTTCTTTGCTTCCACCGGCGGGTACTGCATCGAATACTTTCATAGCTGGAGCGCTTTCATCCATTCGGACGACATGACCTAGCCAGCGGCCGTTGACTTTTCATTCGCTGAACTATGCCAATATCATCATATAGCTCGTACAGTTCATCGTTCCATCATTTGCAGTATTCGTCGTTGCCAATACGCAAAGTCGAAGACTCCCAAAGCCGACTCATCAGCTGTTCACATCGTCTATGCTTCTGCGCCATACAGTAGAACGGGTATGATGAGCGGCTTGTAGAGTTTGGTTTTCGTTAGCCGAGAGAGTTGCCTGCTCAGTCCAAAGTAGCAGGTATTGGCAAGAGTGAACAGGTTACTCGCTTGTAAATACCAACTAAAGCCATGTCGCTCTCCATCTGATCCTTTCTCGCCTTCTTTTACCAGCGGGTGTTGCATGAATTATTTTCAGGGATACATATACATACATCCGGTTTACAGGAGAAAGCCAGCGTAACCATCCGCTGTCTCCTTATTCACTGAATTATGTAATTGTGTTTGGCGCCACCCATAAACAGAAATTTTTCGGAAAATCTTCTTTTCGAAGACCAACAAGGTCGACGCATCGTTTGTCACAGGTAAGCAAGAATGCGTCTACGTTAGATTTTTAGGCGTGATATTATTGTTGGTGTGAGTTGTGGTTTCAAGACATTAGACACGCTTCCTAATTCAGTCAGGTGAACTTTCGGTGCTGTTGTTAAGGCCAAACATATTGATATCATCGGCATACACAAACAGTTGTAGGCTCTGATAACCTTCTGCTCTGCTTTTCTAATTCTTTTCTAATGCAAATGGCTGAAGAAGCCACACCAAAGAGTGTTAATTTATCTGAACATTCCTTTGGTATCGAATGGCTCGCAGAGATCCTATCCAATTATGATGAAATTTTTGGTGCTGCTCAGTGTCAGTTTACGCAGCCCTATAAGTTTTACGGGTACACAAAATTCTGATACAGGAGCATAAGGGCAGTTATCTTTCGTGGTAGTGAGTGTCGATTCTTTTCTCATGGGTGTTTTTAAGATCTGGCGCATACTGAATATCTGGCTAATGGTATTGTGCATTTGCCAGGTCTAAAGCTATACTGGTAAGGTCCAATCAGATTGCTAACGATGTTAGATAAGACCTAATAGCCGATATTGAGGATACAAGGTACTGAATTTGGTTTGCGGGAGTCCCCCTTTTTGTCGATTAAGCAGAGCATACATAAACTCCAATCGTCTGGCATGCGCTTACACCACCATATTCTACAAAGAAGCTGATGTTTGCAACTTGCAATCTCTTTGACGATCAGTCGGTAAATTATCACCTCCCGTCGCTTTGTTAGGCTAGTGAGAGAATACAAAACTCGATTCTCAGTTAACTAGCTGCAACTCCTTAGAAAGTTACCTTTAGATCAAGAATCGATTGATACGTAGATATACATCTGTAGTAGAGGAGTACCGTCGGTGAATTATATATAATTTGCCGCTTTATAACGACTGAAGCGGTTTTCGGCCGACGTACTCCTACAATTTTTAGTATGCATCATCATCTTGGGGGGATTGATGCATTTTTATGAGAAGGATTTTTTTATATCAGAAATACGCTCACAGGACTTCACATAAACTGACTCGACCACAGCTGGAAAATTAAATTTTTTGTAATTTTGGATGATGGTCCGAGTCCTGGAACTTTGACTTTCAGACTTCGGTTATTGCATCAGCCGAATAATTAGTACCGAACATACAGTAAGGGTTAAAGATTCGTCTGTTACTCCGGATTTTTGTTTAGAAGAACAGTACAGCCACCGACTTATATATAACATTACTGTAGAAAAACACTACTTGACCAAGGAAAGTCGATTCACCTGTTGAAAATTAGAATAAATAATTTTGTCGGATTGTACTCTTATATATACATATTATAGGTACATCCTTTTATTTGATATTTCTGGCCATAAATTATAATACTAGACATTTAGTGATTGGGTATTAGTGCATTTTGTCATTGCCTCATTAGGCATAAATTACTTTAGAGAATTGTGTTGAGTTCAAAGGTAAGGTGCGGCGTTTTTCCAAGCCAAAACCAGAGGGGCGCCGAGAATTCTTCAGATTCATAAATCATTTCGTGGGTTTTTAAAAAAGAACATTTGTGTTATTCAATTTCTATATTTTGCACCCATTACTTGGAAGTGGATATCTGATAACCAAATGGTAGTTCGTCATAAAAATACATTACCCGTTTATGGCAGACTGTAAACTGCGGGTCTCTCTACATTTAAGAGAAACATCAAGACGCACCCAGCACATTGGACAACTATTTAAACGCCAATTAAGAAAATTCAGATCTCCCTAATTGCATATAGTCGCCTCCATATAATGATAGAAAACACTAGCAATGTACACCGTGAAAGTTTTTCAATAGTACACATTTCCTAATGCTTTTTCAGAGTACAGAAAATGTTTGAAATATATCAGAGATATTTTTAAGTAAGTACATATATTTCTGAGAAACCTAAATACATTTCTGTAAATTCCCCAATCAATCTGAAATACTTTAGCAAGAATAATAGAGCGTGGTTTGTATCAGTTCTTTATAGTTGGAATTTTTATTACAGGCGCTTTAAGACTTGGAAAATTATCATTAGCTATCGATTCATTAGAAAATTCTAGCTGTAAAGGGTAGGTCTTTTTGACAGCTGTTACTCGCTTTCTTGTCATTTCATAATGAATATACAATAGTAACTACGAAACCACGCTTAGAAACTGTAAATATAATACCAAAATAAGGTTAATATCCAGTCGATATATTCGCCCAGTAGAGAAGGTAAATCGAGCAACAGAGAATCGGTTTTGCACCAAATTTATGCTAATCCTCAGAGACGCCATAGAGAGCGCACCGAAGACTCTATTGCTGCTGTGGAACAGGATATCGAAAAAGATCCAAAGAGTTTATTCCCAAGAAAGCGTTGAGGTTGCGGAATGATCTACTTTTGCGCGCTTACAAAATCGAATTCGTGCAAAGAATTGAAGCGCAATAACCTCAAAACGAGATGGACACCGATTCCGATTTCCCCAAGAAAATTTTGTTCCGCGATAAAACTCAATCTTCGTTAAATGGATACGTGATAACTAAAATCGTCTCATGTTGAGTGATGATAATATACACGACATTCTTGGGAGGCCGTTTCATAATCACAAAGCCACTGTTTGGTGTGCTCTAAGGGTAAGGGAAGTCATTGGTACATATTTCTTCAAAAATAAACCCGACCGTAATGTTGCTGTCATATCAGAAATATACTCGGAGGGGTTGACCTTCCCTGCCGCGCGGCGACTGCAATTAGAAAATTTAACTTTCTTTTCTTTTCTTTGTTTTTTTTAAATTAAATTTCTATAACTTTTGGATGTTGACTGTACCAGTATTTGAACCGGGCCTTCCGAATGGCAGTGGGGAATGACAACCTTTTGGTCACTGCGTCCTAATGCGAGACTGCGCTATAGAACCGTGCCTGAAGTGGCAGATGGTGATGGGGATGACCAACGCAATAATCAATTTATAGGAAGAAGCTTTTGTGTGACGCGGCCTCTAAGATCCTACGATTTAACACCGCAAAATAACTTTGTGTGGAGTTATGAAGTTTAAGGGAAGAAGCTCGAGGCAATTGCCGCTGGAACAAAATAATCGGCGCGTTATTTTATATACGCTCCCAACCGCTGGAGGAAGTGGTCAAAAATGGGGCGGTGGAATTTGTTATAAGCACTTCATGTCTTCTTGAAAAACACACATCTAAAAAGCCAGCTGAATGGAGTTTATGAATGTAATAAGGGTTCCAAAAAATTAAGAACTAAACATATCCGTCAAATTCATCCTATGATACTTAGATGAGGAAATATAGCAGCTGCATAAAGCGTCGTATAATAATTTGTTTCACATGTTGATCTATTCGGTTATACGAAAAATATCATACATTTAAAAACTAATAATCGAAAAGCAAAGTCAGGTTCGAAAACGAACTGAGATCCTTAAAGTGTCCTTTTGGTGGTTATTTTTATTATTTATAATTTTATTATTTTTAAATTTTTTTTTTTTTTAATTTTTTTTTAATTTTTAACTTCATGAAGTATATACAAAAATATTATTTGCTTCGCACCTTTGATCATTGTTACACTACAAATATCGCCTTATTTTCGTTTTTCTCACGATACTTCTAATGCGCTCGGTTGTTCTGTGATAAACAAAAATTGAACTCGCACTGTTTTGAATAATTTGGAATTTTGCCATTTTATTACCTCATCGCCGTTTCCGAATTGCCAATAATTTCACTTATCAGGCGTTGTGATTTCTTCAGGCGTTTAATTTGCTTGCGTTATCTACGTGTTTAAAAATATACTTTTATTGTGGTAACCGGTGGTGGGTTTACGCATCTGCACTCACACAAACCCATACACGTATATGCATATAAATATATGTATAATGTTATTTGAATTGTATTAAACGATATTGCAAATGAAGATGCGTTTGAATGATAAAATGATTTCATAATTAAAAACAAAAGAATCCCATAAAAATTACCGCATTTCGGTAAAGGAAATTAAATCTGTCTTAACTTGGCATTGCGTTAATATTTACGTCTCATGCTTAAAATAATTAATTTAGTAGCGCTTTATCTGCTGATTATTTTGTTTTTGCCTTAGGCTTTAATGAACAGCGTTTTCGTAAAATCCTTTCTTTACATTTTGTTTTTGTTATCTTTTTTTTTGTTCAGATAATTTCTGTTGTCGAAATATTTAAAAATATGAATGACTTTATTTATGTATTCACGTCTGAGGGTTATTTTTTATCAATTACTCATTTCTTCAAATTCAAAGAAACCTCCGAACTGACAAGCCCAATTGAGCACAACATCCGGAAGTTGCGAAAAAACGATTAAACTGCTTGTAATTCAATGATAATTCATGTCTTATCAATGAATTTGGTTTTTTTGAGGAAGTCTAAAGTCTACAAAAATGCAATTTCTTCAATGAAGTCTTCTGGCGTAAAAATTTATTTCGCTTATCATGGTTGAAATAGAGAATTTGGCGTTCTTTTAGAATCCCACTCTCGCACAATTCCGTAATTGTTTGATTGCCGTTATTAAAAAAGCCGATAAACATTAAATAAAGTAGAGCTGAGTGCAGTAACGACAACAAAAGTACAATAAAAGTGTAAGCAACGATGGAGAGTCTTACTAAAACACGCATCGCGCAAGAGAGTAAGTTTAAAAGTTCATTTAGCCATTTTACATACCTCTCAGCCGTGCCACCTGACTGGAAGAGCGATATAGTTATCAACGTAGCTTGCAGCGGCGAAATGTTGCCAGCTGCCTGTGTGCTTGCATATTTTTTATTAAATCTATGATTTTCGTCAAAAAATTGCATACAAATTTAAATTTAAATAAGTGTAAGTACGCGTGCTTTCCAGAAAATCATTCCAATCCTTTGCTTATATGCTATATAATCATAATGTTGAACAATGTTACTGACTTCATTGATTTAGGTGTCGCAATGGACCCTAAGCTAGATTTTAGAAATCATATACATTCTTGTTCAAAAGATATTTTAGTCTTCAATAAACGTTGGGCTATTGAACTCATCGACCCATAAATTACCAAATGACTCTTTACCTCACTTGTTAGACCCATTTTGGAATAAGGCTTAGTAGCATGGAGTCCACACCATCAATAGTATAGTGATAAATTATAATCTGTGTAAGCATTTTCTACCATTTGCGGTAAGAAATTTAAACCGGGATGCGTATACGAATCTCCCTTCTTACAAAATTTGTTTACGACTCATTGCTCTGCCTGCACTACATAGTCCTAGAAAGATGCTTGGATCCTTATTTTTAATTAAATTGATAAGAGATGTCATTAATAGCTCATTGTTACTAAGCGAGCTTAACTTTACCATCCCTTTAAGACTATATATACTCGTATACACACTTTAGGCCCCTTTTATTGTGTCAATGCTGGCATGATTCTTCTGAATTGTTTTTTTTTTTTTTTGTATCAAAAACTACTTACTGAGAGCTTTAAATTTAAGTATTCTTTTATTTTGAGTAATTCCTTCTTTTTCTTCCATATAAATTATAGCACCTAATGAACATATCTATAGTTGGTTATAAGAGGCAAGAGTAACCGCGACCTTCCGAGATTGGTCTGGGGTTCAGTGTATTGCCAACTGTCTATTCAATTTTGGATTATCCCTCAGGCGCGCCCCTCAGTCGGTAGAGCGAGCGGTAGCTAACTCTGTATTCGTTATAGTAAAACCAACAAAAAACTTATATATTTTAATACAACTTTCTTTTTTTAAAAAATAATACATTTTCTTTATTCAAAATTCATTTATAGGAGTCAATCGGCATCGGAAATCAATGGTAGTTTTTTTTTACGTAACGGCGCGCTCATAAGACTGTTGCGACAGCTAAGTCACTATGTTTGCAACTGGTTGCAACATAACTCTGAGAAAAATGTTGCGCAAGTCAGCGCAGAAAAAATAGCTGGATCGATTCCCTTGATTGGTAAGTCTTTCTGAACTCACCATATAGCCCAGCTGTGCCACTATCTGGCATCCGTTTGTTTTGGAATCTGAAAAATTCTCTCAAGAAGAAAGGTAAAGCAATCACAGGAAGATTACGTGAGTGGCTTTTTGGGCAAAAATAGTGCTTCAAATCGTTGGTTCATTTATTTCAAAGTATAGCTCTGGATCCCAGTCACTGCTACTGGCCCTCAAGTTTAAAAAAAGAAGGAAAGGAGAAGAGTGGAGAAAAGGAAAAAACAGGCTCGATATACAAAGAAGTTTGAGATAAAAATCTTATGACCTGAATTTCAATTTACGAATCGCTTCTGAAACGTAACGCATGGTCAGTGCAGAGCAGTGACTTGACTCAAACGGTTTTTAACCTAGAAAGGCTTCGTTGAGCGCTTGATGGGATTAGCAAGAAACATTCAGAAAACGGACCGTCTGAAAGGTGGAATCGCCTAGGAGGGACCAGCATTCGCCGAAAGGAGGGGAATCATGTTCATCAGGCCAACATCAGACCACACACATCGATAGTGGCTCACCAGTAGTTGAAAGAGCGCAGTTGGGAGTTTCTTTGGCGTCCAGCTTAAAACCGGACCTTCCACAAATTGATTACCATCTTTTTCTGTTTATTGTGAATAATTTAGCAGTTGAGCTCGGTAGGCTCAGAAGACACAAAGGTTTCAATGAGGGAAGCATTGTTACGTTACCTTCGAGCAGAACGGTGTATATTTGACATAAATCTTTTAATTCTAACTAGGCAACAAAGCCTTAATATTTTTTGTTGTGATCTTTTTCTTAATGAATAAGTGATCCAATAAAGATATTCATAATATTGAAATCCAAAAATAAATCCATTATATTGTTTCATTTATAACCTTAACATTTCACGATAATTTGGTTGCTTCAAGCATTGCAAAATGTGACTTGAGTCCAGTCTTCATTTTCATTTGAAATTGCTGTACTTGACAACAAAAAACCAAGAAAAAAAACAACTAAATTGCAATATATCAAATTCGTTTTTATTTTTTTTTGTTAATTTAACTCAATTCGAAAACTCACGCGAAAGATATAACACATTGCAAAATGTACAGTGAATTTGCTTGAAACAAATTTGAACTGTTTTCATTTAGACTAAAACGAACAGGCAACACTCGCTGCAAGGCCAACTGAAAGCCAACCAAAACAAAAAACAGCATAATAATGAAAAATGTAAAAATTTTTGTTATTGTTGTAACGCCAAAGCAATCAACAATCAGTAACAACTATCCGACCGACAATCAGCGCTGGCTATGCCTGTTCTATTGATGTTTCGCCTCGACTCACAAGAACTAACATATGTTTCAGTCGGAGTTTTGCCCCGCTCTGCGGCAACTCAAAAACTAAACGCTTAGTACGCTTGTCAAAATGTTTGAATATATTGAATTGTTTTTTTTTTGGGCATTTCTGGATTTTATTTGGCGTTTTGGTCACCTCTCGAACTGGCAAAGGAACTTAAGCGCCAAAGCCAAGCAAACTACGCTCACTGAACGTTTATGTACATTTATCCGCTCTTCCCTTACCCTCGAAGCTTTGCTGTTAAATGTGCAATGAATTTCAGTGTTTAGCTTTTAACTCTCGTGTGGCAAAAATGTGCCAATTAAGTTAGACGAATGCGTTTAATAGGAACAGGCCGCTGCACAGTGGCTTAAAATGCCAATTCAAATGGAATAAATAAGTAGAAGCTTAAGATTTTTGGGAAATAAATCTATTGAGTTGGGAGTTCTGCACACGAAATATAGGCGATGTGCGGTAAGTAGACCTGGCACTACTCATACGAGCTGGATTTAAGAATTTGTACAATTGATCTTTCCGCCTCTATTTTATTTTAAATATATTAAAGTATACTTAGTATGTTTAAAGTAACAAAAATCATTTAAAAGTGAAATAAATGATTCCATCATGATGTCCTTGCTTCGTGGTGTAAATGGTTCCAGAAGTAATGACATTTCTTCATAGGTAAATTGCTCAGTAATATCATAAAGAGGAGATGAGTTTATTGAGAAAAATGCAATTAAAAGATCTGATGCTAGCAGCAAATAATGAAAAAGGTATGCCATTGTTTCTCTCGAAGCATTTTTATAGAGTGATGTTCACGGCCAGACCTGAGACATTTTTCTAGGGTCTCAAGAGATTTCTTGGAAATCGTTTCTATAGGAAGTGCGGCACTTTCAATAATGTCTGCACCGTGAATCAATATTTTGGGGACCGCGATGATAGCTCAACAAATAACTTTGCTGTGTCAAGTGTAAATGCTGCGAAAGCTTTCACATTAATTGCATAACCAGACATCATAACTCCTAAGTTTTTGAAGTTTTCATTAACACCAGTTACCATAGAAGCCAAGCCTGGCTCCACAAAAAAACGACGTGCTATGTTTCTAGTGTTGCTTATACATAGAATGTCCACTGCTGCTGTCACATCTCCATTTATGGATCAGTGTCAGCTCAGTACAGTTTGTCTTTGCTAACTCTGCGCTTTGTAGTTTGTAGATTTGTTTAAAGGAGGAGTTTTTGGAAGAGCCAGAAGACACCTGGTGCTAAGTCCGGCGAATCACGTGCTGTGTGCGACGGTGCTTTATTGTAATATAAAAACGCTGAATTTTTAGCCCATAATTCTGGTCTTTTTTTGCGACTTGCTTCACACAAACGACTCATAATGTTTAACAATATTCCTTTTTTACCGTTTGACCAGGAATTCATTGTGAACCACACCACGAAAATCGAAGAAAACAGTGATCATGACCGTGATTTTTGAGCGATTTTGACGTGATTTTTGCAGTCCTGCTTCACTTTTCGCAAGATATTAGCTTGATTAGTCGATAGTTTCAGGGTCGTAGGCATAAATCCACGTCTCATCTCCTGTAATCATGCATTTTAGCTTGTTCTGGTAGTCAAAAAGGCATGGTTTCACACAATCATCGCGACGACTTTTTTGAATGAAATTGAGTGTTTTTTGGAACTAAACGAGATTTGACTTTTCGTAGGCCCAAATAGTCTTTCAAAATCGATTTTATAGATCCTTCTGATATTCCAACCATATCAGTAAGGTCTCTAACAGTCAACCGATGATTTTTGAGCACTAATTACCGAATTTCATTGATGTGTTGCATATCAGTTTACGTTGCTGGTCGTCCCGAACGCTCCAAGTCATCACGTTTCCGACCCTCTTTGAAGTCTTTGTATAACTTATACACATTCAGAAGAACGACATACGTGTAGTTGAGTCCCCAAAGGCTTTCTGTAGCATACTCAACGTTTCAGCAGCCGAAAATTCGTTCCGTAAACAAAATTTGATCGAGCTATTCTACTCAATTAACTCAGACAATATAAAAATCGCCGAAGGCACTTTTAGTCGTTTAGTAAGCACAATCGTAACTAAAATATCAATAATGCCATTGACATGAAATTTGGCGTCGATGTCAATAACAGTGCTACCAACATTAAAATAAACTTTAACCGAAATATTAAATGCGCAAAGCTCCCTCCTCCCTTGGGCAATTATAAAAATTAATATTTTGTAATTTGGTTAGGACAGAACTCGAACCTTGACTTTCGGGATGTTGTTACACTTTTGTGGTATATGCTTAGGTCTTTTGTTGAGGTTTCGTTGCATTGCTTCTTTGGTGTGATTCAAGAGCGTAGATTAGATCCCGCCACGGCTGCACTGAAAGAACCGCATCCGCTTTTATGAAATTTTCCTTTACGAAATCGCAAAGTGTCTGCAATATATACTCGATGGCTTCACAAATTCCATCTTTGAGATCTTGAATTAACGTTGGTTGGTTTTGAGTTTTCCGAGCCCATATGCGACAGTTTTGCTTATTGACGTCGCTATCGAGCTGAAAATGGGCCCAACTTGACTGAGTTGATTTGTCGCTGAAATTTCGAATAATTTTCATCCATTTCAAGTACAAAATCAGCAAAAAACACGATGTTGCTGATGATTGGCCGGCTTGAGTTCTTCGGTTAACTGAATTTTATGCGCCTTAAGATCAAACTTTTTGGGCAAGTTACGTTGTAATGACGAGTAATGGACGAACTTGGCTTTTCTTCACCACTTTGTACTACAGCAGCAATACTCTCAGGATGTTTTTTATTCTTTACATTACTAACTTGCTCCAACAGCTCCATTTTTTCAACAATTTTCTGTATTGCGTTTCGCCCAAGGTACTTCACGACGACCGAAAATATTTTAGTTTTTTGAAGTGTATCTGCCAGGTGTTCACCATTTTTATAGTGAATTTTAAATAATTTCACTGCATTGTTAAAGCTGAGATGTTTTGGAAAACAAATCGGCTTTTCTTTTCAGTTCTGACCCAGGCGCCCTTACGTATTCTGAAAGATGATTCAATTTACTGATGGTTTAAGATTTTTGATAGTTTTCCAAAATGGTTTTTAAGTGGAAGCGTTGGGAAACAACAAAGTTGGACGATATTTTATAGTTTTTTCCTTCAATCTATCTTAATGCAGCTCTTAATTTGTTGTAGAAGACGTGAAAAAAATATATATAAATTATCCGATTTAAGTGGAATAAAATTTTGAATGAAAATAATGTATTTTTTTTAGTACTTTTAGATCAGTCTCGTCTCTTGTGGCACACTTTTCGCCTATTTTTAAAGATAGTTTTTTAATATGACTAAAAAACTGATTAATTAAATAAAATTGTTTGGCAAATAAGATGAATTTAATTATTTGAACGCAAGAAAACTAAAAAAAAAATACTTGAAAAAGAGTTTATCTTAACTAGATTTTACCTTGGCGGTGCAATGCCATACACCGTGAATGATATGCTTCGTTAGTTACTATATTTCTACTTATACATATGTACATATGTACGTACATACGATTATACATATCTACACATTGTATCAAAAACATTTTTATGACTACAATACTGTTTACACTCAGCAGTCACCATTGCACGGGCTCATGACACACACCGATTTCCTCAACAGTCGCGAACAACATCGAATGCCAAGAACAACGTCGAAGCGATGAACGTTGTTATTTGCCAAAAGGAAACAAGGTAATCACAATAAATATTTCTACGAAAATTCGCTGTAATTTCTATAAAAGTAAATGACAATGACACAACGTCAATCAGTCAATTTGCGCGAGAAGAGAGTGACTAAGCGCGCACGCTGCGGTAATAAATTTATTAACCTGTGAATGACGAAAAATCACAGCGCTCATAAAAATAAATAAACAAAAAATACCAGAAGTGAGGGGTTGTTGGCAAGCGATTAAATCTGTGCTGAAAGTGAAAGCGAAAAAGTGAGCTAAAGTGCAGTTGGAGAGATAAAAATAAGTACGCACATAAAATGAAATTACTGATGGCGACAAAATTACTCGCAGCCATAGAAGTGGTCATCGCGCTAGCCGCTGCAACATCTGCTATCGATACTGCAGGCGAAAAAGTAACAAAATTGAGCGCACAACATTGCAACAGCTCGAGAGTGACGAATCCCACACAATGGATGTGGGGCGACGTGAATCCGAATATATATTACATTTGTGATGAATCGAGTAACGCAACGCGGCAATTGCATTGTCCAGCGGGACGTGGCTTTTTCAATGGACGCGGCCATTACGGTTGCCTACCGTACGAAAAGTGGCCAGCTTGCTTGGATGCCAACGGTAGCAGTAACAGCAGCAGTAATAAAAGCAGCAATGCATCCGCAGCGGATTTGTGCACGGACGTTGGGTATTTGCATGAGACCTGGCCGGCTGTGGATCCGAATAAATTTCATATGTGCCAACAGGCGAATACAACACCATTGTTGCTGAACTGTGAGTCGGGTAAAGGTTATGTCAGCGCATGGCTGGGCGGCGCACGTGAGGCTGGTGGAAAGGGTCATGGTGGGCATGAGGGCACACATATTGTTGGCTGTGCCACATGGGAGAAGTGGCGGATGTACATGCACTGTGAGGACTATTATTGAGATGTCCACTAATCGAGGGTTAAAAATTAATTTTTTTTGCCATAAAAAAAAATTAAAACAAAAAATTTATAAAAATTTGGTGTGAATGGCGAGTGTGTAAGTATATATGTGTGTATGAGTTTGCTAAAGGTGGCTGCACAGATTTATCTGTTGTGCTCCAAGCCCTTCGATAGACATTTATGTATTTATTATTTTTATGCGATTTTTAAATTTAATTTTTTACACTGTCGCTGCAAACTTGTCGCGATACAAAATTAAACGAAAGACTTTTAATTAACTTAAAAATGCTAAGATAAATTTAAAAGCTTGTTTTATTTCATCGTGTGATATTATTGATAAGATAACGAGGGCAACACTTGGTAGACGAAAAATGTCAGTGCAAGTTAGTTAAGAAATAAATTGATTGAAATTGTCTGAGGTAATGAAAGCAAAATATAAAATATAAATTAAAAAAAAAGTAAATAACTTTTTGCAGTTTCCTACAATGAATTATATATGTATATATTGAAAAAAATTTAGAAACTTTATTATGATAAAAAATTAATTTTAAAAGACACATCATGATGCGACAAGAAACGTCGTAGGAAGAGGTATACGGAAGAATTGGAAATTTCTTAAAAGAACCAAATCTTAATATACTAAGACCATTAAATTGGAATTCAGTATTTTTGTGTTAAATTGAAGGTTTTATTTATCATAGCTAGAACTACCCTTTTTGAAGGCAATATCTCTCCCAAAGAAATATTTGCCCCTATTGGGCAGGAACAGAAAGTAATCACTTGATGCGAAGTCCAAACTATAAGCTCTTTTCAGAACTCTCAGGGCTTCTGGTTAGTCACTATCGATGTGGGTTGTCTGGCGTTGTCCTGATTAAATACAATTTCCATCCTGATGGTTAAAACTGGACACTTCTGGGCGATAACTTCCTTCAGGCGGTCATACTGCTGACAGTATTAGTCCTGGTCAATAGCCGAGTTAAAAGCTTAAACCACCATACACAAAACCTCCCTGGCAGTCAATCCTGGCTTCCAGACCGTTTGCGCCGGTACACTGTCCTTCGACTGTTTTTATTTGACTCTGCTGTAAGTAATTCATTTTGTGTCATCAGTCCCCATTCGCATTAGAAATCACATAATTTGTTTACAATTCATCTAGCTGTTTGCAGATAGAACTTCAGTCTATGAATTGTCTCTTATGGGGCGCTCATAAATCGACTTTCCTTATGAATTCAACATTTTCAAGTGGTTCCAAATTATTTTTCGTGCAATATTTAGCTACAGGGAATGCCAGGAAATCCCATGCAGTTCCATGATTTTATCGACATTTTTGACAATTGGCCTTCTACACCGTGGATCATCTTTCACATTAAAATTATCGGAATTACCAGAAAATGAGTTTTAATGGATTATCTTTTACTAGACCGATATAATAGTATTTTGTTTCGACATGCGATTTTCAAGAAAAAGATAATTAATTGAACGTTATTACCATAAATTAAGCTTTATTAGAGAAATAATGGATTTCCTTTAGCTTTCTGGATCAATGATTCCTTCTGCTCATGGAGTGTACGAAATAGTGATATCCAATTTATGTAACGGCACACAAGAGTGCCTTGTGGATTATCACTACTCCAAAGGCGACATTTTTTTTTTATAAACCTACCAATTCAAAAGAAAGCTTCATCACAGAACAAGATTTTCTTGTGAAAATTGGAGCGGTGGCCACCTCGTCATGAATCCATTTTTATTTTGGCTTCAATTCTTGAACTAGTTGGATTTTGTTAGCTCGCAGACTATGATTCTTTCGAAAAGTATTCCATAAATTGAATGGTTGCAGCTCTGGCGCTTGTTGGGGTACAGACTCATTTAGATCTCCGTCGATACTTTACTCCATAACAACGATAGCGACGTCATGTATGAAGATTACATTAGCCACTACAGTAAACGTGATGCAAGGGAAAGACCTCTTCGAGCCGTTCGGTACTTCAGACTGGGTGATTCCTTATAGTGAGACTTCTTCAATTTATTGCTGGAGAAAATAATACGAACTGGATAGCTGAATAGAGAAGTTTCAATCTTCCATAAGAGTGTACAGCTGCTGGCATATGCCGCTGATATTGACATCATTGGCGTCAAAAACCGCACCATGAGTTCTGCTTTCTGCAGAAACTTATGCGGCTGTGTAAGCTGGTGCCAGACAACACCAGAAGCGCAGTCAGAATTGGGAAGGATCTCTCCGAGCCTTTCGATACCAAACGAGGTTTCAGACAGGGTGATTCCTTGTCGTGTGATTTCTTCAATTTGATGCTGGAGAAAATAATAAGAGTTGCAGAGCTGAATAGAGAAGGTACTATCTTCTATAAAAGTCTACAACTACTGGCGTACGCCGATGATATTGACATTACCGGCCTCAACAACCGCGCCGATAGTTCTGCTTTCTCCAGTCTGGATAAGGAAACGAAGCGAATGAGTCTGGTAGTGAACGAGGGCAAGACGAAATATCTCCTGTCATCAAACAAACAGTCATCACATTCGCGACTTGGCTCCCACGTCACTGTTGACAGTCACAATTTTGAAGTCGTAGATAATTTCGTCTACATAAAAGCCAGCATCGACACCAACAATAATGTCAACCTTGAAATCCAACGCAGAATCACTCTTGCCAACAGGTGCTACTTTGGACTGAGTAGGAACGATGAGCTGTACGAGTTGATATAGTTCAGCGAATTGAGAAACAGTGACTGCGCTTGCTAGGTCATGTTGTCCGGATGGATGCGAATACTCCAGCTTTGAAAGTTTTTGATGCGGTGGAGAAGGACCTGGCTGTACTTGGAATTTTGAATTGGGACCAAACAGCACAAAACAGGAACGAATGGCGCAATGTTGTTAAATCGGCCAAAATCGCGTAAGCGGTGTCTGCGCCAGTAAAATAAATATAAAATAAAATAATAAAGATTGCATAGAGTGGTCATTACAAATGTGTTTAAAAACACCCAACACCCTAATATAAACCAAATTGTTTTTTTGTGCGTTTATGTCGATTTTGTAAGCACTCATCGAAAATACATCAACGGTTGCGGACTTGCTGGTGGAAACTATTTTAGATCTTCAAATTTCGAGTTCGAGTCAGAATGGCGTTTTACATGGCCAGAAAAAGATCGCAAACAGTTTTATATATCAAAACTTTTAATCTAATGTTCTTGTCTGAATACGAAGCAACAAAAGCGGACGATCTTAATGCCAGGTTAGACACAATCACCGGAAAATAAAGCTTGTATTATGAAATGTCCCCAAATGTAGAATCTCCGGATAAAGGAATCTCTAACACAATCAACCAAGCTGTGTTAAGTGAGCCACATTTCCGCAGATATAGATAAATTTGCAAATAGATAAAGCGTGTTTGAAGTCCTCTAAAAGCTGACCGAGGGAGTTAAATCTCGAAAATCTACGAAAACATACGGCGAGCTTTTGAAATAAATATTTTTCTGCTCGAAAGAATTGCAGTAAAAATAAAAGACCCGGAGATGACAAATTCAATTTCAAAATCGATGACGATGAAATAGACGTTTCATTTGTCAAACATGAAGAAGTTCAATTAGCAATGCTCGCCTGAAGAACAAGAAATCGGCTGTGTTTTTCAAACGTTGGATCAGTTTTCTAATTACCCCTCCTATCGAGTGTACTGTGTTAACAACATTTAATAGATATTAACCATCCGCCAAATGTTGGAGACTACTAATGAGAAAAAGGGCCACACATGCCACCTTTTCGTCGATTTTAAAGCTGCCTTCGATAGCATGAAAAGGAGCAAAGCTTTTGTGGGACAAAAGCCAAACTGTACAAGTTTATCATTACACACGTACTGCTAAATGGTGAAGACATGTGGTCGATGACGACAACCGATGAGTTGACGTTTGGAAAGAAAGGTTTTGCGTTCTGGCAATGAGAAATATCGCAAACAATACAGTTGCGTGCTGTATATATTACGACGCAGTGCAGCGAATAAAGAGACAGCAGCTTATCTAGGTCACAACATCCCAGCATAGAAATTCCCCGAAGTCACTGCTTTTAGCTACGACTTTCACATTTTAACTAACCTGGGGGGAGAGAGTTTTCGTTGAACAAATTACGTGGAACTGAGTTTTGTTACTCATACGCCAGCGCATCTCGAACATCCTGATATACTAAAGGTACAACAATCATTCTAGCGAATTGTGGTAATTTCTATTACAAATCGTTTCCAATTTTCATACAAAAATTTACACATATATACCTGTGCTGGTATTATTATTAGTTATTCGCGAATGTTTTCTTTGTCTCTCGTTTTTTTCCATCTACAACTTGTAAGTTTTTGTGATTCATACATATTCGTATTTAATACAGCATACTGATTGTTATTTGAAAATTTTTGCCATATATATAGATACACACACATACGTATATGTGCTTTCCAATTCAATATATCGCATGGCACATTCAGTGGGAGTTAGTGTGCATGTATGAGTGCTGCCATCGATGATAAACAATCACGAAAGTCAGCTTCGATGAACGTCAATAGCGAAATTGAAAAATTCTCTGCGGTTTTATGCTTGTAAACTAAGCTCCAACCATTTTGTCAACTATGGTTAAGTCACACATCCACATGCCTGCACATACATACATGCAAACAAATATATAAAAAGTTGAAGGATAGCGTCGGTATTGTCACAGTGAAATAAAAATAATCAAAAATGGTATCAAAAAAGTTGCTAAAGCATGCGAGTCGGAGAAACCCACATGGCTACTGCTGGCGGTTGGCAATCAGTCGAAGCTGGTGAATCCTCTGCATTATTATTTATTTTCATTTGTACATATAAGTGAATGTATACTACAGGTGAGATCGCTCGCATTAGGAATATCACTTGCTGGTAACATATTATTTTTACCTGCCGCGTTTGCGAGCGGTGGCAGGCAGCTGGGTGCTAGAGTATTGACTGTCGCTGAATACAACTGTCGCAATGC